GTCGGCTAGATTGGACACCCAATCAGGTTTGTTAATTAGAGTATACAATTTACCTGCAAGTATCTGTTCCCTTCTACCTTAATGCGCATAGCAGTTTTCAGCCCCTGCTTGAGCTTAATCTGGCATCAAATGACCAAAAGCAGTTTATTAACAACACAAGAAACTAAGATAGGCGTAACAGACTATAATATTTCCTCACCTTTTCCATGGATTCAACATACTCCTCCACCAATTTCCCAACCTTTCCACCCAGTGACATCGTTGGAAGATGAGTACCGGCACAAGGAGGAGCATCAGGAATTACAGACCCATAACCTTCACATCAATCTAACTACATCAGAGACGGACATGAAAAATTCTTGGCCCAGCAGTCAAGAGTGTCACTAAGCAGGTAACCAGAATTCTAGCAAGTTTTTCGTATCTAAGTGTTCTTACTGTGTCTAACTGAATTGAATATTTTACGCTATCCAACAACCTAATTCCATAAGAGAATACAACACAATCCCATATTTCAAAATTGGATATGTCAATCTAAAAAAGTCATATTTCAAAATCAAAAATCGATTTTGGTTTGTCACTAACACTCTAGTTGAATATGTGTTTGATTGTTGCAGATAGAATCTTTTAACAATGACTATGGTCACGGTCAGGAGGAGCAGACTATTGAAGCAAATTACTTAAATACCAGAATTTTCTTCAATGGGAATCCCGTCAATGTTTTACACATGAAGTACATGTTAATTTAATTAATTCTTTATATGTTTTTGTCTCTCTCTATTGTTATTGATTTATAACTTTTTGTTTGTGATGTTATTTCTGAAGCATACCTGAAGGTATCCCATGGGAAGTGATTGGAGTCGACTACGTTATTGAGTGTACTGGCAAAATTGGCAAGAAAAAGGCTAAAATTCACTTGYTGGTTTGTAAAATACGTTATGGATTGCTCTAGCTATTTGTTTTATAGGTTCTCAATCTTTATATGGTTCTTTGTTCAGGCTGGTGCCAAGAAAGTTATCATCGCTGCCCCAAGTAAAGATGCTTCCATGTAATACAAGGCTGATCTTGACTTTTCATACTATCCGAAATACGTTAATGATTACTTTTATGATAACAGATTTGGTTTTTAACTTTTCAGGGAAGAGTCCGAAAGCAAAATGAAAAAGATCTTAGGATGCATTGAAGGTGATGTCAAGTCCCACTTTTTGGGTGACAACAGGTAAAATAACAATTAAGTAAACAATTCCCATTTTTTATTTTATAAATGTCAACACCATTAAGGGAAACTAATGGACTGTTTTCTATGTGTTATATATAAAGGTCAAGCATATTCCACTCGAAGGCTGGAATTGCTGTGAATGAAAATGAGTGGGCCTATGCTTCTCTGGTCGTCAACTTTGCTCTCTCCCTCCTCTTCCAGATTCGATGGAGCTAGTTCTATTGGAGTGCGACGTTAAGGCTAAGCCCTTGAAATTTGGAAGAAAGACCTCAGTCATTGTCCACTTTACAAAAACCAGGGAGTTTGTTCATAGGGAACCCAACGGATGCGAAATCTTAAAAAGGCCCAGATATYCCTATCCTAAGATGAAGTTTCGATACAGGATTGATCCGGGACAAGACCTTGGTAAAACTTTGGACAAGAGAGTTCTAAACGTAAACAATTCGGTTCTAAGACGCCTAYCCAGTTTAGTATCGTCTAAGGCAGCAATGCTTATGAAGGAAGGTCAACCTTACAAAGTGAAAGTTAAGATTGACGTACGTTTTCAGAGACGTTACCT